CGGTCTCTTCATGAGCGCTTTGTTCAAAGACCTGAGATCTAAGATCGGTCTGAGGCCGCCGTCTTTCTTGGGAACCAGAAAATAACGGCCGTAAAACCCCGACTCGGTCATAGATGGCGGGACTCTCTCTATCGCGCCCTTTTGCAACAGCGTCGCAATTTCTGAGCGGAGCGTGCCGGCGGCCAGCGGGCTGACAGAAGATTCGAGCTGCGCGCGCGCACGAGGCGGGCGGCGGCGAAACTGTAGCAGGTAGCCGTTCTTTATAATGCTTAACACCCACGGGGAAATGCCTGGAATGGCTTCCCACGCTTTGGAGCATGCGGCTAGTGGCCGAATGGCTGTATTGCCCTGATTGCTGCACATAGCGGGCTGGACACAGTGTGTGGGCGCGCTTTGAATGTGTGTGGCAACGGGATTTGCACTCAGAGAGGAGTCTATGGGCCGTGACACAGAGCGAGCAGAGAGGGGACACGTGCACGAGCTCGTGGGCGTGTTTATGTTCTCTGATATTAGAGCGGGCTGTGCCCGTTTCATGTGATGGGGCTCTGATAGAGACACGGGATATGTTATGCTTGTGTGTATGGGTGAACACATGATTGTGGGCACATTTTCTACACAACTGGCAAAATTTCTCTTTTTGAGATTTCTCTGGGTAGCCGTAAAAACGGCTTTTTGTCGCTCGCAAGCGGGCTGGGACACCGGCTTGTTTGTGGCGGTCAACACTACAGCAGTCGGCGAAATAACGGGGACTGGCAGAGGGCGAAGCTTTGACGGCGGTCCGGCCGCAGCGGGAGAGCACCGTCGTTTTCTTGACATTGTTAGGCAGACTTCTGATGATCAGGCTTCAGCGTGATCTTAGGTCGCGGGCCACGGGGGGGCGGCGGTCTGCGGCGGCTGTCAGAGCGAGAGCGAGGGCGAGGGCGGCCGCTCTGACTGCGCTGAGCTGTTTGAGTCTGCGGAGGGGGGCGCTGTGATGGGGCTCTGGCGGAGGGCTCGTGAGAGCGGCCCGCTGAAGAGCTAGCGCGGCGGGGTAGAAACAAGTTCATCGCCTGAGTAGCTTTCTGTACTTCAGAAAAGCGATCGACGATTCCCGTGACGGCAGATCCAAACAGGCCCGTCGGGGAGAGGGGCGCGTTGAGAAACGCGGCGCGCTCAGAATCTCCCATGTCGGCGAGCGTGAGCCATAAGTGTCTCTCAGCAACACAAAGGCTGGCCATGCATTTCCCCAGAGCTTGTGCGGCGGCTTTAGTGGCGCGAAGGGCGAGATCCGTAGCACTTCTCAAATCCGTGACGGCGGGGGGGGGTTTTTCTACCGCCTTCGGCCCATTCACGGAGAATATCGCTCTGTAACACTTGGAGGACAGACATAGAGTGAAGCGCAGCGGCGGCCTGACCGGCGGCGGCGTAAGCGCGAGCATGAAAGCTCGAGGTCGCTCTGCAAGCTTTCGAAGGAAGCGTGGGTGAAGAACGCCATCTAGCGGAGGGCGGGCAGAGGTGCGTGGCGACCAAGTCCTCGACGGGCGGCATGGCTGCATAGCCTTTCTCGGCGGCTCCGTCCACCGAGCGCAGCGAGGCGGATATATCGGAGCGATTTCTAGCCGAGAGCGGTGCATTCCAGGATTTTGTCAGCTCTGCGTGAAGTTCAGGCAGGAATGGAGCGGCCCGGGTGCACGCGGGGGTCGAGCGCCGATGAAAAAAGCTACCGTCCATTCGGTTCGGGGCCTGCTCGGGTGGAGGAGACCACTCGAGACCGAGGCGTTCGACGGCCTGTGAGAGGAGGCGCATCAGCTCCTCTTCTATCCCGGCGCGGGTCCCCGTCGACTCTCTCGCGGATCCGAGAGATGACCAGTCTTCACTGTCAGAAGCGAGCAGTGAACAGGAGTCCTTCTCCTCCGCGGCGTCATCGGAAACAACAGAGCGGCCACTCGGCGGCAACTGAATGTCCGGCAGGGGCGGGGAGGGAGAGCGGGAAGCGGGAGGCGGCGGCGGCGGCCCGCATGTTTCCGCTGGGGGCTCCGGCGGCCTTTGAGAGCGGCGTTTCTTTTTACGCGGCGAGAGAATAGGCGGCGCGGGAGCGGTTTTCACTGCCAGAAGTCGTGCCCGCAGGGACGATAACGGCAGGCTTTCACAGAAGTCGCATCCTCCATCAGCGAGGGCGAGTTCTGCATGCTCGAGTCCCAAGCAGAGAGCGCAGATGACATGGCGGTCTCCGTCCTCGAGACGAGCGCGGCAAGAGCCGCAGGAAAAACGAGACATCTTTAAAAAGACGCTCGGCTCTTTTAGATATAGAGAAAAGGATACAATCGTCGGATGGCCTAGCTTGCAGGGCGGCTGAAGGTGGCGAAGACGGCCGGCTTCTTCAGGGTCCTTGAGCTCGCTAGAGGATGCCTTCTTCGACGGCGATGGCTTTTCTCAGGAACAGCAGAAGCGTGCAGCTTGCTGAAGATGAAATGAATCAACATATAAGCCTGGGAGAGCTCCTTATATACACCATGGCCACGCCCATTCTGGCGGGTCATGACGCAATGAGCGCGCGGGCGCCTCTCATTGGAAGCGGGTTCAGCCCCGCTCTCCCATAGGCTTAAGCAGTTCTCTCTGAGCGAACCAATGAGCTGCTAGCTAGCCCGCTCTAGGTCTGCCGCAGAGGAACTGCGTTGTGTATGGATACAAAATTATGAAATAATTTTTTGGCTTCAATATCTCAGCAAAGATGAATCTTTCCCGCAGCGTAAGCTAGCTTACGCAATACGAGAGAACCTCTCGTAAGAGAACTATTCTTATTAAAGCTATAAAGTTATGCAGTCGAGAGCAGCGAGTGATTTTCTGTTTTTCTTTTGCTGTTTGATTCATATTATCAGCATAGCAGTAGCTACTGTATATTACACTGCTGTCACTTTAATACACAGATCTAATATACACATGCGGTTTCTTTCCCTGCTGTTTACATTCACAGACATAACCGAGTGTTTATGTGAACTTTGTGTGTATTTGACAGTTTAAGCGCAATAAGATGTGAAAGCGAGCTTAGTTTAATACTAGTTTAATACTCCGCCTGACATCCAGCTTTCTGTGCGCTGCTTCAGATGTGTGCGCTCAGAAAACCATATATCAGAAGTTTAAACTGAAATGGCTTTAACATGCATGCAGATAATAAACTTTCATGATGATGAAGAACTGCCATGTCATGCGAGGGTGAACACGATAGAGAGGATAATCAAAACCAAACAGATGTTCTAGTTTTTGACAGTCTGTAAAGGCTCCGCCCTCTTCTGGAAAGGGGGCGGGGACTCAGCAGCTCATTTGCATTTAAAGATACATGCAGGAAAACAGCATGTTTTTCCTTCCACTCAAAAATGGGCACACACACACACACACTCACTCACTCACTCTCTCTCTCACACACACACACACACACACACACACACACACACACACACACACACACACACACACACACACACACACACACACACACACACACACACACACACACACACACACGTACACCAGACACTCACTCACTCACACACACACACACACACACACACACACACACACACACACACACACACACACACACACACACACACACACACACACACACAGCAGTCGGAGCAACTTTACTCTATTTACAGATATGACAAGACATAATAGCATATATTTAATATCGAGAAACACAGAGAATGTGAATTATGAAAGTAAACAAGGTCACTTTTGATTTCATGTTGCGGGATATGCCAAATATCGAGAGGACATTGTTAATTTACAGTCGTAGTCTATGTGCTTTAGCATTTCTGTTGACGTCCGGCAGATTTTTTGAGTTTGTCCACAGAGACACATGCTTGAATGCAAGGTTGTACCTTTCCTTTTAATCTTCATTTAAACTATGAGAGTCCAATCACTTGTTTCTAATGGATCAAGACAGGACAAATTGGATTCTTATGATCTCTCTGCATTTGTAATACTGACTCTTTCTTGAAGGCATTGTGTGTATTAAATCATCCAAAGTGCTTAATGAATATCAAGCATTCTGAGATAAAACCCAATGGCAAACACTTGAGAATAGCGGCTGGTGTTATGTTGTTCACTGCTCTAGGGTCAGATGATCGTGTCCTCAGTGAATCAGCTTGACTGTCATTATGATGTTCTGCTCCTCCACATCAACACTAACTCATGAAGAGCGCTCTTACTGTGCCAGACACTGTCCAGATGATGCAATCACACCATAACTACAGAAGGATTGGAAGAACTCTACGTAAAAAGAACATTATCTAATGTTATTATCTACTAAATAATAATATTAATGATAATAATACATAGTAATATAGTAGGAATGATGTAGCTACTCTGTGGGTTTTGTAAACGCAAAACACATAAACTCAACAATCAATTACAAACCAAGGCTGAGTAGAATTTAGGAGGAATGGGCTCGGGTTCGGTTCATGAGTTGGATTGGCCGTATCCCACAGGATGTTGAGTTGGGATGACAGGAAGAGGAATTTACTGAGGTGGAATGCAAAGAAATTCAATAATCACACACACCCCACAGGAATTTCATTAAATCTTTGGCACAAAACATATAGGAATCACTTCATTAATGTTTAGACTAAACTAATTAGACCCACTGTATTTCTCTGAATGTGAATTATACTACATATAGCCTATATACTGATGACAATTTTGATCACATTGGGGTAAATCTGTGAAATGTAATCCATTCAAATGAATTTTAATCACATAACGAATAAACTAAGTATGTTTTTTTATAGCTAGCATTTTTACACCTTATTATTAGTATCATATCGCATGGTTAAAATTACAGAGTTATACATTTTTTTGAATGTCATGCCATTTTAATTCCATTTTCTGAAATTCAAATTCGAATTTATATTTTGAATTGTGCACAATCACCTGCCGCGTGCCATATTTAACTGAAATCCACATTTCTCCATCGTATTAAATACTACAAAACGCCTTAACCCAGAGATCAGCCCACTCACCTTATGTTTGAGACATCAGCCCTGTAATAGCCGGGATTGTGATGATGATAGTTCATACGCGGGGAAGTTCACGCATCTCCTCCGCGCGCGACAGCTTCACGCTACTGAACCTTCAGGATCCGCTTCATCCTCGCAAACAACCCCGATGCACAGCACACTCAATGCATATCCGCGGACGGAGCAAAAACACATGCACTTTTCTTTTTTCAAGCAAAGCACCCCGAGATCAGATGTAGCTGGTGAACTTTAGGTGCATGAGTGCTTCTGCATGCGGGCAGTGTGTGTGTGTGTGTGTGTGTGGGAGGAACTGCTCTAGTGGAGGGCTCTGTCCATGCAATGTGACGCTTTTCAATACACTCATCAAATCAAATCAGATATGATTGTCAGTCAGTGCATTGAGGTACATGTATGACAGTTGAATCGGGATGGCATGCATAGCTCTATTTCAGTAATGCATGCCATCAGTCATCCATAGTGAGATTATAATTATAACGTCCTGCTGAAGACCAATTTCATTCCGACACTGTGAATAACTGAAACTGTCAAACTGACATCATGTATTGCAGTAGAGTAGGATAACTAAGTGATGGCTGTGATTTGGAATATCACTAATAGTCTTTGTTTCATACTGGCCCTAAAGTAGCCTATATGTGCTCGCGAGTCAGGGGCTTGTTTCTGACCTGTGTATATGAGGTCATACTCTGTAAAAAATAATACACTATATCTACTCAATAAAATTGTGGCAATAGATTACAAGCAATATTATTAATTAAATTTAACAAATAAGAATTGAGTTTTTGAATTAATCAAATTAGTTCCTTAAAACAAAAGACATTAAAGATGAATTAAGCACTATTGATTTTTCATTGCCAACATTGAAGACACCGGATGATAATGAGCAGAATCAATGAAGAAAAGAGGAACACAAGAACTACAACTGGCTTCAGTCACAGCCTTAGATGAAAAAACATTAAATCTCTCGTATTACAAACCAGATTTACTTTATTTCTGTAATTCGTCTACAGCTCTTTTTGGGAATTAACAGGTTTGGATGTTGATGTTTTATTGAAAATGTTTGTTCACCATTATGGTGATCAGTATTTCATTTATTGGGCAGTTTGACTCTTGACTTTTTGTGAGTTTGTGGTTTTTGTAATAGTGTTTTGCTAAAGCACATCATTTGTTGCAAAGGATAAGCAAAGTCGATCAGATGATAGTTTTAATCATCATAGTTATATGGTTTCACTTTATTTTGATGGTCCCTTTAACACATTCTGTCGACTTTAAGTAACTTTGCACCTACATGTCTGTTAACTCTCATTTGAGTGTTACTAGAGTATTAGTAGACTGGTAGGGTTAGGGTTAGAATAAGTTGACATGTAGTTGCAAAGTTACTTATAGTTAGTAGAAAATCTGTTGAAGAGCATCACAATAAAGTGTTAGCAGATATTAAGCAGACAGTCTACTAATACTCTAATGAGAGTTAGTTGACATGTAGTTGCAAAGTTACTTATAGTCGGGTCACAGATTTGTCTCTCAGGGGCACCAAGGAGACATCAGACCCAACCCCCTGGGGCTGCTGGGCGTGAGCAGCCCGAGCCGTCCAGCTCCTCATATAGAGCACAGCAAAGAGAGAGTGTCGCATCCCGTGCTCCTCCTCAAAAGTCATGGGGGCAGAGCCGACACTCTCAGCCGAAGCCTTCAAAGCGGAAGCCGGATCTGAGGACCGTTCATCAAGCTACGAAGGCTTCGGCTCAGAAGAGGTCCTGACGCCACTGGTGTCAGACCTCTGAGGGCAGCCCCAACCGGGTTGGATTGGTGTACACCTGAGTATACAGTGCTCGTTCCATCTCTGTGCCCTCAGACAGCCGTTCTGTCAACGTCTCCAGCGAGCACACGGTGTCACCTCAACGCTTGACCCTCTGAGGGGGGTTCAAAAACAGTCAGTTCGGTTGGTTCCTGCCAGTATGCTTCAGGCCAGCGAAGTGGCTGTTCCCGTTATACCAGAGGCCAGTCTCGAGAGGCGGGTACCCTTAGTAGATTATCTGACAGAATGGAAGAATCTGCCAAACATATCCCAGTGGGTCCTGCAGGTAGTAGAAAGAGGATACAGAATCCAGTTCGGTTCTCGTCCGCCACGCTACAACGGGTGTTGCTCACGTTAGTGCATCCCGAGCAGGCTCTGGTAATGGAGCAAGAGGTGAAAGCTCTGTTAGCGAAGGAAGCTATAGAGCAGGTGTACTCACCCGACAGAGAATCGGGTTTTTACAGCCGCTACTTCATTGTTCCAAAAAAGGATGGGGGTTTGCGTCCTATACTAGATCTTCATCCGTTGAATCGTACAATCAAGAAACTCAAGTTCAAGATGCTGACACTCAAACAGATCTTGACTCAAATCAGGTCCGAGGACTGGTTTGTCACGATAGATCTAAAAGACGCATACTTCCATGTCTCCATCCTCCCTCAGCACAGGAGGTTCCTGAGGTTTTCTTTCGGGGGCAAATAATACCAATATAGGGTGCTTCCATTCGGTCTAGCTCTATCACCCCACACGTTCACAAAGTGCGTAGATGCAGCTCTGGCCCCGCTCAGGCTGCAGGGCATACGCATTCTTAACTATATCGACCACTGGCTGATTCTAGCGGAATCGAGATGTCGTCCTCGCACACATGCAAAAATTGGGGTTGAGGCTCAATGCCAAGAAGAGTGTGATTTCTCCACTACAGAGAACCACTTTCCTCGGGTGTGGTATGGGACTCAGTCACGATGCGGACCGTCCTATCGCCCGCTCGTGTAGCTGCTATCCTCACAGCCACGAAAGAGCCAAAGCTAGGCCAGTCATGCACTGTGAAACAGTTCAAGAGACTGTTAGGCCTCATGGCAGTGGCGTCCAGTGTGATACCCTTTGGCCTGCTGTACATGAGACCTTTGCAGTGGTGGGAAACCCTCTTCGTATGATCAAGATCACACGGCGGTGTCTCCGTGCCTTGGTTATATGGAGGAAACCTTGGTTCCTCTCCCAGGGTCCGGTGTTGGGAGCTCTTTGCCAGAGCTCTTTGCCTCTTAGCACCATGCTGGCCGAGCCGATACTGGTTCGCGGACCTTATGTATCTCCTCGACGGCTCTACCTTGGAGATCCCGATCAGGGGAGACCTTCTGTCTCTGGCGGGGGGCACAATCCTTCACCCCCACCCAGAGATGTGGAACCTAAGGGTTTGGCCTCTGAGGGGGCCCAACTCATAGATGCTGGTCTCTCAACTGAGGTTGTAGAGACCATCTTACGCTCCAGAGCTCCAGCTACGAGGAAACTTTACGCCCTGAAATGGAAAGTTTTCACTTCTTGGTGTCATCAGCATCAGTGGGATACGGCTAACTGCCGAGTTGGTACAGTGCTTGAGTTCTTACAAGATCGCTTTTCATCATTGTTATCTTCATCCACATTAAAGGTTTACGTGGCGGCCATAGCGGCTTACCCGGCATTACCCCTGTGGGTAATGCATCGTTGGGTAGAGACCCCTTGATTATCCGTTTCCTTCGTGGTACTCTGAGGCGGAGGCCTGCAACTCGAACCCGGGTTCAGGTTTGGGACCTCGCTATAGTCCTAGAGGGCCTATCTGCGGCTCCCTTTGAGCCCCTCGAATCGGTTTCAGAAAAGTTTCTGACCTTCAAGACCATTTTCCTTCTAGCTATTTCGTCCCTTCAGAGAGTCGGAGACCTTCAGGCCCTTTCAGTTTCTCCCACCTGCCTTGAGTTTGCACGAGGGATGGTCAAGGCATTTCTATATCCTAAACAGGGCTACGTCCCTAAAGTACCAACCAATATACCAAGGCTTATTGTGTTGCAAGCTTTCTGTCCTCCTCCTTTTACGACTCCGGACCAGGAAAAGCTGAATCTCCTCTGTCCAGTGCGAGCAGATCAGCTGTTTGTCTGTTTTGGATCATCTAAGAAAGGTCTTCCAGCTTCTAAGCAGACGATCAGCTTATGACTTAGTTGCTACAGTTTCTCATAACAGGCAATTGTAAGTACGGCGTTTGGGTATTGTCGTTCCCAAAGCGGCATCGACGCGAGTTCCCTCGAAAGGTTACGACTGTGACCTTAGTTCCTTGAGAAGGGAACGAGACGCTGCGTCGCCCTACCATACTTCCTCCATCCCTGTGATCGACTTGCTTGCTTTTATCCTTTCCTGGTTGTGACGTCATATGTTGATTCTGTATGTCCGTGTATTTAAAAACTATTAATATCAAATAACTTGATTATGGACTGTCTTTGTTTGTGGTTTCCATTGGAACAAATGATGTGCTTTAGCAAAACACTGTTACAAAAACCACAAACTCACATAAAAAGCCAAGAGTCAAACTGTCCAACTAAAGGAAACACATTTTCAACAAAACATCAACATCTAAACCTGTTAATTCTCAAAAACAACTGTAGACGAATTACAGAAATAAAGTCAGTCTGGGCTGCGTTTCCCAAAAGCATCATAACAAGCCTAAGTTAATCGTTGAACAATTGCCACCAATGCTCTCTACGATCAAATTGGTACGATGCTTTTGGGAAACACAACTCTGGTTTGTAATAAGAGAGATTTAATGTCTTTTCAGTTGATTTCATCTATGGCTGTGACTGAAGTCAGTTCTTGTGTTTCTATAAATAAATAAAGAGTTCTTTATTCATCTTTGATGTCTGTCTGTTATATAGATATTTCTGTTTAAATTTGACTCACTATTTTATGTGCTATTTGCTGTTACTCATTTTAAATGGTTGAATTTTAATGAACTAATTTGAATATTTTTAACTCAATTCTTATTTGTTGAATTTAATTAATAATATTGCTTGTAATCTGTTGCCACATCTTATTGAGTAGATTTAATTTATTATGTTTTAGTCACACATGAGACACTGCTGAACCAACACACACACAAACACACACACACACACACACACACACACACACACACACACGTTACAGCTGTTACAGTGATTTGCATCTGAAATGACTCGAGCAGCCCGTGAGGTTTCAGTATCACTAGGAGAATGTTCATTTATCTCTTTTTAAAACTGCATTTACCTTCCTAATTGCATGTAACATGTAAACTTTAGCCAGTGACATCACTGAATTCTTCTAAGGTATATATTTATTGCCACACCTTTTACTTTAGTGCACTTTTTTCAGGGTAAATCCTTTTTTTTTTAGTCACAGACTTTAAAAGGATTTATCTAACACATAAAAATGCCACAACTTGCCCCGACTTGACATTTATGAAAGATACTTGTGAGTATTTTTGTCCAGAGAAAAAGCTTTTTCAATTAAATTCTTATTCAGTCTGTCAGTGTGGTTTTACTCATTTGCTTATCCAACAGCTAGGCTATTACAAAAAATATGAAAATATTAACATTTTAATTTGTAGGACAGAATTCAGAAACATGATTCTAGTTTAAGAGGGCTTTGAAAATACATAGGCCTATTTTTTTTTTAAACGCAAGCCTGCTTACTTGGACCTTTGACTCTAAAGTTAGCTATTTAAATACAGATCTTGTGACTCCTCCATGTGACTTCACTCCATCTAAAATTCTACAGTGTGATGATAATAGTGTGATATATGTCGTTAGAAAAAATCTAATTTTGGCACTTGGCTATTACTGTATCTGTTCAAGACATGAGAGATGTTACAATGAAATTTAGGCTACTACCATTAGTCTACTATAAGCTTATTATCAGTAAGGGAGAGTGGGGTAAGATGAGCCAACGGGTAAGTTGACCCACCCCTTTATCTTGGGAACCGTACACTTTTATTGTCATGTGACCTTTTGGAACAACCCATCATTTCTGCCAGACTGTGAAAAGGATAAAGACACATGGGAGTGGAAGGCCATTTACTTTAAAAAAATGTTTTTGGCTTGTCAAAAATAAATTTTAGCATAACAGATGCTGTTACATAAAAGCAAATTTGTCCTGGTCTAAAAAATATTTATGATCCATATTGATGATGTATAAAACCATGCAAATCATTTAGTTAAATATTAACCTGAATTGGTAAGCTAGTTAGTTTTGTCAAAAATGGCAGATGGGGCAAAGTGAGACAAATGCTTTGGGGTAAATCGAGCCAGCATTTTAACTTACCCCACCATAAGGGACTAGTTAAGGTAAATCTCTGATGTATAAACTGGTATAATTTCAATTTAATATTACACAACTGGTTTAGTTTTTTTTACGTTGAGTTTATTTGACAGGAACAATGTAGGGCTACAATTACACCAAATCCTTCTCTGATAAGAACCAGAAGACGCTTTTCACCAGATTTGAATCATATAGGCTATATTCCAGCTGTAGTCCCTAATGGCGTAACATGTTCAAGCATTGCAGAAAACCATGCCAAGAACCTTTTGACTAAATGTCAATTTACCCCTATCCTGCCTGCATGGGTTAAATTGAGCCACAGGAACACTTTTTTATAAGAAGCCATATTTTTAGAGCATTTTGTCATAGATGTATTCTGATCTTTTAAAATGATGAAACATCCTGAAATTTCGTACTTCTGCCTAATTTCTTATCTTGAGGACCACAGTTGTAAAAAACAAAAATAATAATAATAATAAAAAAAGGCTCATCTTACCCCACTCTGAACCATGACCTACCCTGCTGGGAAAATCCCCGCTAAAACCAGGCTAGGCTGTTTGGCTGGTCTTAGCTCTGGTGTAAGCTGGTCTTCCAGCATGGCCAAGCTGGTGTGCATCTGGTTTTAGCAGCTGGTCTCCCATCAAAGACCAGCCTGGTCAGCTAAAAAGAGTGTCCAAAACCCCCTCTTAAACCAGCCAACCAGCTAGGCTGGTTTTATTTACCCGCCCAGCAGGGCTGTGAATACAAAACACTTTTTTCAAGATGTGGTATACTTTTCTAAGTTTTGATTTCGTTTCCATCATGTGTTTAACCCATTGCGCGGCTGTCTGAATCATAATGAAAGTGAACCGAAAGCACTTACACACAAGAGACTTCTGAACTGAACTGATTTCCCAGTCTCTCTGCGGCTTCACAGACAACCAAACCAAAGCACAGAGGGTAAGGTATACTGTTTATTTATTTAATAACAGCACATATTTTTCATATCTGCATCTTTATTTTCGTGTAATTAGTGTAACGTTAGTTGTGTTTAGCCGTGTAGCTAACTCACAGCAGGCTAATGTTTTGTTTACATCCACACCGAGCGCACGTAACAGCAGCTTTAACAAAAGGACGTGTTTTATGTTATGCATTTGCTTTAATAAAATATACTATCATCATATTGTGTAGTTAAAAAGTTTACGTTTAAAGTTTATAGCTGGTGTAAAAGGCTTATAATATGCAGTTCGTCGATAAATGCATTAGTTTCGGAAGCACTGAACTGTTACAGCATACAGAAATTCACAATAAGTTACTAACCTTATAGTTTCTGCCTAAATACCCTAGTTACAGTATACACGTGGTAACATTAAGTATTTGCTGTGACTGTCGTCAGTCATTAACCATGGGTTACAGGACATGTTTTCAGACGTGTGTCATTGTAATGCATGCTTGCAGTAGGCTACTATTGTGATTTTTAATCATAAATCATCATGTTATTTTATATAGGCCTATCAGTAGTCACATGCTGTTTAGAATCTGAGCCAGTTCACTGTATATGATGCAGATCCCATAATCATTTATAATGTTTTTTTTTTTTTTTTTTACTGTAGTAAGAAATGAACTATGGCATGTTGACAATTGTATAATTTTGTAAGAGACACCAAGGTCTCATTTAATCTCATATACTGAGTAGTAAAAATGAAAACAGTGACTGTTTGATAAACTGCTTAGACTTACAAGTCATCTGATTTTCTTTAAGACAGGTCATGCCTTTTTAAAATCATTTAAGCGTAGACTGGCCTATGAACCCGAAAACTGATTACTAGGGGTGTGACGACATGCTTACCTCAAGAGACCAGAAAATACAAGCTATGAGTTCACGAGAACGAGACGACACAATATTTTAACAATATTTTTAAGAAATATTCAATGACGAAATACATGAGTGGAAAAATAGCCTTTTATTCAACTGAAAGTCAGAAAAAATACACATGCGTTTTGAAAGGTTTTAACTTATCTAGTGCTGTCACCAACGATTATTTTGGCAATTGAGTAATTGGTTGATTATTTTGACGATTAATCGAGTAAATGGATAATTTTTGTATTAATCTAAGTGAACAATAGCCTTTAAAATTACTTAAAATACATATAAGAATGAGGCAATAATTGGTTCAAAAGCAAGTAATCATATGGTTTTATTGAACAACACTGTTAAAATACTAAATATAAACAGTATCAAGTTATGGACATAATGTATTATAACAAACGCCTGCAGAGGACTCCAACAGCCTGGCGATTGTTGTTACACTTTACAGCAGATCAAATCATGGTTTAATATTGGCCAAACAAGATTTATTTCAAATGTCCATTTAATCTTAAACATTTAGCCACTTGTCTATGATATAAATGCTACACGATTTCAACAGTTCGCATATTTAGAAGCATATTGATGTTTTCTCCTGCGTTGGCGCAGGTTTATAAATGATTTACGTTACAAATCTAGTGAACGCCGCAACACTTCGCTATGAAACACAAAGTGCATCAGACTTTACATGCGTTTCCAAATGCACATTATTAGGATCCCAAACAAACAGCACATGCAGAGAGATTTCACAATAGCACTATTCTATATTATGATTTTGGTAACACTTTACAATAAGGTTCAATAGTTAATGCATTATCCAGCATGAACTAACTATGAGCAACACATTGGTTACTCATTTGTAAATGTCAGTTAATAAAAAAATACAGCTGTTCTTTGTTTATTCATGTTAGTTCACAGTGCATTAACTCAGATTTTAATGAAGTATTAGTAAATGTTGAAATTCAAGTTACTAATGTAGTTAGCCTAATGAACCTTATTGTTAAGTGTTACCATGATTTTTAAATGAAAAGCTTTAGCAGACGGTCCCGTATTGGCTGTGTTTGTGCAACTGGCCCCAGGTGATTATTGTTCATTTTGGTCTTCGCATGAAGTGTGCCAGAAGTGAAGGTGAAGCAGCCAGCTGGAGATCTGCGTGCTCACATGGCGTCCGGCAGGAGCAGGACGAGTCTGCGAGAGGACCTGACGTGTGCCATCTGCTTCGAGCTCTTCCGGGAGCCCGTGATGCTGGGCTGCATGCACCACTTCTGCAGGAGGTGCATCGTGTCGTACTGGCAGAGCCTCAGGGGGCCGGCGTCCTGCCCTCAGTGCAGGCAAGAGTTCCCCAACAGGAGCTTTCAGACCAACTACTTAGTGGCCGGTGTGGTGGAGAAGGTCAGGGCCGGCTCCACGCCTGGATCTATCAAGCATCTGGAGGTGAGTTTCGTCTCACAGTCGGGACAAGGCACGACTCGGGACCCTCTTTCACTTTCACTTTGTCCTAAATCAGCTCAGCATTAGGAGTGTAACGACACACTCATGTCACGATTCGACACATATCACGACACTGAACTCACAATACGATATTATCGCGATACTCCAAGACATATGATAAACGATTAACAAACCATGTTCTTTTAATTAAAATAAAAGTGTGTAAATGAATAGTCTTGGACTCGGTGCTGAAACCCAAAGCACAGGACAATAGAGACTCCAGAATAACAATATTCATGATTCTGAAGATGAAAACACTGAATTATTGTAGATGAATATGCTTGATCTCTGTCACTGACTAGATATATTTATAATAATGTCGGCCACTTTTACTGGTAACATCAGACATCTGGCATTATCAGCACACACACATATTCCCCCAGTGCATTATTATACATTATATTCAACATTATATACAGTAGTTTAATGCAGTACTGACACTACAACTCTGAAAACTTTCTCTCACAGTAATTTTTATTTTGGGTGAACTAAAATCGAGTCAGATGTTCCAATTCGATTCGATTTCGTTTCACAAGCTCTCAGTTCGATTCGATTTCGATTCTAAATTTGATTCTCGATTCGACTCAATGAATATAGATTTAATACAAATCCTATATGTGACCCTGGACCACAAAACCAGTCACATGGTTTAATTTTTTGAAATTTAGATTTATACATCATTTGAAAGCTGAATGATGTATTCATAAATAAGCTTTTATTTACATTAATGTATAGTTTGTTAGGATATGACAATATTTGTCCGAGATGCAACTATTTGAAGATCTGGAATCTGAGGGTGCAAAAAAATCTAAACATTGAGAAAATCTCAACATAAGTTTACAAGTGTTTAACTAATCAAAATAAATGAATGAACCTGTATATTAAACTCTTATTATTTTAGGTACTCTGGGTACATTAACACAGAAGCCAACTCTATATTTCAAACGCATACGATGAATAAACAGGATTTTGATGCAAGATGTAAAATTGCTGCTGTAAATTGGACGAGTCTGAACAGTGAACGCCTTGATCAAACACGATCCGGTTATTTAATGTTCAAGATAAAACACACATATAATCTCCCAGCATCAGCTGTAACATGCAGGCCTGTGAACAGTGGAGGAACACTAACACCGGCTTTTGGGCGATAGATACAAAAATATGGGAAAAATCGATTCGTGGCCTTTGAGAATCCATTTTGAATCGACCACATTTTAAAAACCGATTAATCGAAAACTCGTTTTGTTTGCCCAGCCCTACTCAGGACACGACTCGTGACCGTCTTTCACTTCGTCCTACATCATGTCAGCATTAAATGACAAGTTCTGTATTTCCTTAAACATTTCTTGAAAATGCCCTTCCGCATTTTTGAGATATAAAGCTTATGATTGTTTTTTGTTTCATAAACCACAAGACTTACAGTAGTCGTGTCACGTGACTAGTGGATTCCCAACACACCATACATGGACTGTGTCTCATCTGACATGAACTAAGAATGAACTGCACTTCTACAGCATGTATTAATCTTAGTTAATATTAATTTCAAAAAAATGTAATACGTTATTACAATCAAAGGTTATTAGTTAATGCACTGTGAACTAACATGAATAAACAATGAACAGCTGTATTTATATTAACTAATATTAACAAAGATTAATAAATACAGTAACAAATGTGGTTACACTTTATTTTAAGGTGTCAGTGTAATTACACATGTAAGGACTGAGTGATATTAATTAACTTCATGTATTTACTATAGGGTTAGGGTAGGAGTAGGGTTTGAGGGTTAGTTGCATGTAATTATGCATAATTTACTGTTATTACTATAGTAACGTTCAGCCAAATAGGGTTATAAATATGTTTAAATGGGGTCAGACTTTACTGTGTGAGATCGCTTAGACAGACTGAGTTTTTCTGGGTTAATTGTGTTGTTTTAAATCTTATTTAATCTTATCTCTGTTCACGTTTCATCCTTTTAAACACTAAACGATCTTACACAGTAAAGTCTGACCCCGTTTAATATGTGTGTAACCCTATTTGGCTGAACGGTACAAGTACATGTAACGTGTAACAAGGACACTGTAAAATAAAGTGGATTGCTCATTGTTAGTTCATGTTAGTTAGTGCATTAACTAATGTTAACTAATGAACCTTATTGTAAAGTGTTACCATTGTGTTGAATTATAATATACCATTTCATAATGAAGCTCAACCCTGTTAGCACACAATGGCAAAACATTTTTTAGTTAAATCGCCAGACTTGTGTTGCACAGAGATAAACACATATTTAAAATCATATTTTCACAGATTTGTATGAAGATACAGTCATATGTGATCGCATTTGTAAGAACATTTGAGAAACATCAGTCAATCAAGCATTTTTTATGATGGAACTTTAGTAATCATGTATGAATTAACATTTATAAATGTATATTTGTGATACTAAAGAGAACTTACTATAATAGTGATGTTTGGGACATTATTGGTCATTCAGTGTTTTTATAAAAAAGACTGATGATATTATAAAACGGTTAGGTCATGCTGTTGGGCTAATGAATATTGATCACACTGTCTGTGTTCGCTCAAACTGTTGCTGAATATGAAAAACATGGATATAGTGATATGTGAGCGCCAGCGAAAAGGCGAAAATATAGATGATAATTATTCCAAAGGAGCTCTGTCATTTTAATAGGAAAAAACAAGAAAGATTACCGTTTACATGCAGCATGTCTAGTTAAGTCA